GGGGGGCACCAAGAGAGAAAGGAAGGAGCAACACTGGCAAACAAGAAAGTAACAGAGGTGGGGTGATAAGAAAGATTTGACTGTGAGAGACTAAAAAGGTCTCCGAGAACAGAGTGGAGGCAGGACAATGTGAATCAGAGAAAGTAGTGAAATGGAAAAAGCCAATCAGGGTATACCTTGGGCAAAGCGTATTTCGGAAGCTTCATTTGGGCAAAAGCATTCCTCCGGTAGGACACGTAGTAATGTGGTCTTCCTCCTGACGTCAGCTGTATTATAAAAACAAGGTTGTAAGAGGAGCTCTACCATAAAGGTCACAGGTCACAGAAGTGCTATCTGAATGGAAGGAGTTGATTGCCCACGCAGCAGAACGGATGCCTGTGCAGGCAAGTGTAAAGAATTGGCATTTAGTTCAAAAATCAGCCAACACACGGTATGTGTATTAGTCAGAGGCCCAAAGTGAACCCACTGTACAAAAATATAATTCTTTTAATTTTCACTGTAGCTCAGAAGCCAGAAAACATTCTCAGGGTTTTTTTTTGTTTCCAAATGATATAAGCCTTAGAGTGTATCAGCTCCAGCCCAGCTCTCCAGCCCTATAACAGGTGCCTTTGCCACACCAGAAGGAAATGGCTCTGGTTGAATAGTGGAAGGGGAGCCTCACGTCTTTGGGCACCAGGGTCCCTTTTGATGAAGTCACACTGATGACTGTGGGCACATCCCACAGACAGAAACACCGGCATGCTAGGAAGAAAGGCAAGCCAAGATCATGGTCCAAATCCATTTTAGGTCTCTTTAGAAAGAAATTGGGAAAATTTGAATCCTAATGGGTGGGAGAGAGAGAAAGAAGGGTTATATTCTCCCTGTAGGCACAGGCACCAGGCTGGACACAGTCTCTGCCAGCATCTCTCTCCTTGGTTGCTGCTCTTAATCTATGTGAATACCTGGACATGAAACGTTAATGAGAGTTTGCATATTTAGAATGTCAACAAATACCTGGGGTAACGTTCATCAGACACTCAGGAGTGTGACAGGAAAGTTATCATCTGCTTGGCCATTATGCGCAGATTGCCTCTTAGTCCTCTTTGTGGGTTAGAGAGAGTCATGTTTAAAGTGGCACAGATAGCAAACTATGTATGAATGCTGAATTGATTTTGATTTGCAAATTACAAATGTGGATTAGAAACGGTTACTAGAGACCAGAAAAGGTTCCTGGGAGAAGCACTGATAGAGAAATGAATTAGGCAGACCAATGTATGTAACTGTTTGAATGTCATTTGAAATTATAGGAGTATTCATTACTCATTTCCCTGAAAAAGAAGGAAATGGTGTGTGTGTGTGTGTGTGTGTGTGTGTGTGTGTGATCATTTATGAAACACTTAAAATTATAGAGGCTGATATGGAGCATTTTAAAAAATTCCTTCCTCAAAGCATGAGATTAAATCTTCTGAATCAAAATTTCTTGTCCATATGTATAAGTGCAGATACACAGTATGCATCAGCTATTTAGAATTTATACCTTTTTCATTATTAATGGAAAGCAATAACTGAATATTTAAATGCATTGTTCATACAGAACTAACATTTTCCTTAATTGCTCCAGAGAAGCAAAACACACTAACTCCCAGCAAAACACACTAAGGAAACTGTTTCCCTTTTTTCACTTTCTTAGGAAGTGAAAAGCCTGGCTGAGTATATCTCATGCAAGGTCTCTTTATCCTAACTGCATTCAGTCCTGACAATCACAGTTGATTACTCTTACTCTGGCCTCTGCTGCCCACTCCCTCCAGGCAGCACAATTTCCCTTCCCACCTTTCTCCCTACTCTTAAGTTGGTTCCAGGAAGGAGATGACTAGCTTGGTATTCCCCTGATAGAAGAGCCTGGCATATTTGCACAGTCATGAAATGACTGGGAGCTGCTCTACAAATCAGATGAAGGGACAAATGGAACTGTGTGTCATTCTGGAGGCCACCTTCCTGCTTCAAGGTAGTGCCTGTGTGACCCGCTGATGTGGTTCTCTAGACATTGCCTGAGGATCAGCATGTACAGAAGCTTCCCACTCCATATGTTCCTTCCTTCCTTCTTTCCTCCCTCCCTTCCTTCCATTTTTACTCATAAGCCGTGTGAGCAGGTGGAAACGCTGTGACATAGACAGAAATAAGAGTGAGAAATGCCTTTGGGACAATCGGTACAAGTGGATCTTTCTTACCTGAACAAACACATAATCATCCTGGACAATCAAAGAGTCTGGGTCAATGTAGCCTGGGAAAGGTTTATTTCTGTTGGTTTCTGTGCAGTTCTGCATTCGGCAAGTAAGGTATTGTGAATCTGAAAAAAAAAATGGGGTGGAGGTATACATGTAGCATTTTAGAGTCAGGGTAGATGGTGTATATTTCCCTTGCCATCTCCATGTCTTTAAACAAACCTCCAATCTTCACATTGGTAATTGCTGTCATTTTTGTTACAATTATTATCATTATTCTTCGACTCCCTTGCAATTACCAACAGCACCCTCTCCCTGTGGTCTCACCAACTGTTGCCATACCAGAATACTAAATATCTGTTCTTTATTTTTTCCCCCAAACCTACTGAAAATATTTTCCCAAACTGACATTTAATAATGCTTGTGATTTCGTAGTTACATTCTTCTCTTTAGCAGGCTTCCCCTCCATACTCTCACCTTTGACAGAGTTAGGGAAACATATTAAGTCATTAACCATCTCAGGTGGAAGTGCTATTGTTACAAATAATGATTATTTAATAATATAAACATGTTTCTTCTAAGAATTAGAAATCAAACAGAATAGAGGGATTCCCAGGAGTCAAAAACTTTGTTCTTAACTTTTATAGATGAGTAAACTGAGCTCTGGATCTCACTAGAAATTACACCTGCTGATAAGCACAGTCTCCATATTGATAAATCACTCTTACATCAATTCTGTCTCCATTGCTGGAAGGAGGTGGTATTGGGGAAGCTATTTTTGTTTCTCAGTACTCACTATTCTGACCCCTATGTAATCAGATAGTTTCAGCTCTTACTTAAAATGGCTTTTGCCTCATTGCACCTAGAATAAATTCAAAATCTGCACTGCCCACCACTCCAACTTCCTTCTTCCTCCCACACTGATCTCTTTGTTTCTTGCTGTGAGTCTTCTAATTCAGCCTACTTTATGTTCAGGAACTTGGCCAAACTTTCCACCACATCAGAGGCATTTTATTTGTCTCTGCCTACAATGCTTCTCCCCAGGCTGCTACCAAAGAAGGTTCTAGATTTCAGGTCACAGTTACTTCTAAGGATCTTCCCTGACTGCTCTGTATTATATGCCATCCCATTAATTCCCTCCATGGAATATCTCACAATAACAAATGTTAGTATTTTTTTTCTGTATCCTTTCCCAATTAGAATGTAATCTTCATGGAGACAGGTAACTTTATTTTTCTTTTTTCTTTACCCAAGCCTTAAGTTCCTGGAACATA